CAAAAGGCAGGCACCCCTCCTTCTGACTTGTCCCTCCTGGATGAAGCACCAGGAGGTGCTCTGTCCTCCCACCTCCTCCCTTTCAAACAGGCCCATCTCTCACCCTCTCACCTGAAGGCCACCTGAAAGCCACCTAGCTAGAATCCTTCAGGTTCTTCAGTCTCTTGAGATGAATGTGTAGCTGAGAAAATGTCTCTCAGGAGGCTCCTTTCTCCCTCAATTTTCTCAAAACCGCCATACAATAGCGCACAGAGTACGCCGTTGGAAACTGCAGGCAGCAGCTGGGTGGCCACCAAGATGCCCAGGGACACCGCGAAGAAAATCAAAAGCTTGGCATGGTCCACATGTTTCTGACCAAGAGGAGGAATCGCACCGGGGGCTGATGCCTCACTGTCCAACCCAAGGAGACAGGGCCCTTCCCAGACTCCTTCATTTCTAGCACTCAACTCGTTTCACTGTGCGTGTGAAACAAAGGTGTTTCTGCAAAGCGGCAGAACAGTTCTGGTCCCAGTTGCACACACACACTCCTTTACAGGTGACGGATTAGGGGTGGGCAGCATGGGCTTTCCTCGGGGGCCTCTCGTCTTTGGCGGGTCCTTCATTTCACCCAACATTTGCTGATGATTTCCTTGATGGAAGCCACCTTCTTGAGCACCCAGGGTATAAAGCATGTCTGCCTTTCTGCTTCTGGAGCTTAATGGGAGCTTGGTGAAGATAGGCATTAACTGTGACCATCCCCCAGGAAGGGTTCTCTAGAACCTCTAGAACCTCTCTAGGGATGGTGTTTCCTGAACACTGAAATATGTCACCAGGGCTCCCACACTAAGTTTCTCCAGTTTTCAGCTTTACAACAACATGGAATCCTCTCCCTTCATATGTAAGCTGCAGCTCAACCGTCTAATATCCAGAGATAATCAACTTTCTCTCTCTGGAACAATCTCACCTCCTCACACTTCTCTTCATGACTCCAAGGTCATTTCTCTTCAACATGACCTTCAGCCACTGCCCCTCCCAGAAAAACTGCCCTGTATTACAGCCATGTCCTACAGGGAAGCAAATTTAATGAATAGATAAAGGGAGAGGAATTTATCAGTCAGTTCTTCCCTCATGGACTTTGTCTGCCCATCTGTCTGGGGTCGACAGAATTCTGTCGTATCATTTCCTCTCATCCACACACCAGCTCTGTGTGGTTGGCTGGAGAGGTTGGATTATTCTCATTTTACAAATGTAGAAATCAGCGCTCACAGAGGTGCCAAAGATCACCTAACTGGGACAGGAAATCACTTTCTTCCCAGAAGGTTCTCCCCACCTCCCAAACTGCCACACCCTAGCTTTTGGAGAGCCAACAATTGGCTTCACATCACACTATCAGTGAAGATTTCCAGGACCTAAAGTTAGACTGTAACCTTCATCCTACTTATTCCTATTAGGATTTTGTTTTCTCCTTCATAGCATTAACCATATTTTGTAATTATTTTTAACTTTTTTTTTTTTTTTTGCCTGTCTCCCCAGCTGTCATCAGCTCTATTAGCGCAGGTACCATGCCTCTCTCTTGATGGCTGATGACATCTCAGCCCCCAGCACTGGTCCCAGTAATTGCAGCCCAGTAATTCTGGTCTTCTGACTCCTAACTCTGTATCCCTCCCACTCTAACATGCATGCTTTGGAGAAAGCAAAAAATTCGCCATACTAATTCCAAACGTGTAATCCTAAAACCAAACCTTATCAACACTATTCAATCTAAACTTGGAACACCTACTTTTTTGAGCAGCGTCGGGGGGGTCTCATCAATAGGAAATGCAGGTTGTATCCACAGAGTCCATAAATTTCATGTAAACAGACAAAGGCTCAGGAAATCCTGATAGTATTAACCAGCATTTGTGGTATGCCTGAATGCTCCAAGTACTCCATATAAGGCCTCCTCCACTGAGGCCTCCAAACAACTTTGCAAGGAAGGGAAAAGGACTAGTCTAGGATCACCACTTTCCAGTTGGGGAAGCTGAGGGCTGGAGGTATGGTGTGCCCCATCCCCACCCTTGGGAGCCACCTTAGAACAGTCCCTTTGAGGTCATGGCGGCCTCCTCTGGTGCCCAGACCAAGTCTCGTCCCCCCCACACCCCAAATCTATTTCTTTGTCCCACCAACACCTTGCCTTGAGGGGATGAGGAGGCCACAGCCCAAGAAGGGTCTGAAAGTGCTCTTTGTTCTCCATTCTCCCTCCTCCCCCGCTGTTCCCATCTCCTTCCAAGGCCATGGCCTGTGGCCAGCCCCTGGCAGGACTTCCCCACCTCCCATGTGGTGGGGTGGTTCCAGTTGTGGGCTGTCTGGAATGTCCATGCATAAAATGGTGGCCAGATCTAGTGCTCTGGGCGGGGGCCTGCCTGCCCTGAGCCGTGGCGCGCTGGCCCGGGGGGTTGAGGAAGTGATCTGATGAAGCTGCCTCCGTTTGCCAGGCTGGTCTTGACTTGTGACCTGCTCTGACACCTCTGGGCCTCTCTCGGTCTGTCTCTCCGTGGCCCCTTTTCTCTGGATCCCACGGATGACTTGAGCAGCTCTGCCAAGGTATGAGTTAGTGGGAGGGAGAGGGACAGAGAGCCTGGGTGGGTTTCAGAGACTTTTCTTGGAGCCCACATATATTATCTAGCTCTGTTTCCAGTCCTATATACACACACCCTGACCTGTTTGCTTCAGGGACTTTGGGACCTCAAATAGAGAATATTCAATCTTCTCTCCCCCTCCGACTGTTCATGTACCCTTTAACAGCGACAAGCTCCTTCTGCTTCTCGCTTCTCTAAGAAACATGGCTACTCTGCGAAAAGAAAAGAGCTGGCGCTTCCTTGAGGCAGGTGGTCGGAATTGGCCTCGTTCTCCCTCCCGACCACCCTCCCCAAATGAAGCTTCTTAATCCCAACAACCTCTCTGAAGAGCCTGCCCTTCTCCTCTCCCCTGGCGTCCTTGTTTCCTTTCTTTATAACGTCCCCAGACTCACAGTCCATGGAGCTGTGACAGAGAAAAAATGCTGCCACCCAACCTTAAACTTCCGTCAGCTTCTGAGTGCCTCTGGCCGCCACCATCAAGAGAACCATCATGAGATCTAGCTGATGAAGATCTAACAGAGTTTGCCAGAGCCCCTTGGCTCTCCTGGGCTCTGAGAGTGCCTCCCTGCCCTTCCCAGAGGACATCAGCAGGATTTCCCACTCTTCTCCCTCTGTCTCACATTACGGATGAAGGAGACGTGTTTGTGACAAAACCGTCTTCCAAGGGAAATGGTTGTGGAGAGGTGCAAAGGTAACTCTTTTTCCTGCAGCCCCCCTTCTCTGGCCACTCCTCTCAGCCTCTTTGGAGAGCTCCTCCTTCGCTCCCTTGATGCCCCTGCACCTTTCTAGTCTTTCATCTTGGCAAGCTCCCCCTCGCCCATGGAGGAAGTACCTATAAGCAGATCATTCACCGATTTCTATCCAGGGGTCTGATCTCTTCCAGGAGTTTCATACCGGAATGATACCCTTTGTTCCAAAGGCACCTCAGCCCAATACACCTCAGGCCTCATTGCACAGTCCTCTCCCTCCACTGAGCTCTCCCTCCAGGGTTTGCTCACTGTTGGGTGACCCGTGCTCCCCAGCCCCATGTGAGATCCACCCCCATGGCCCGCCTTTGCCATTTCCCTCCCACCAGTAACACCTTCCACCCTTTCTTCCCCAGGGTCCTCCAGTCCTAGCTACCAGCCTTGCCCACTGGGCCTTGTGACTGATCTCCATTCCTGCCTTCTTCTAACTTGTATTCCACATAACTCATGTCTTTTAAAAGCACAAAAAACCAAATATGATCATTTCTCTCCTCTGCTTAAAATCCTTCAGTGACTCCCTAAGGCTTCTAGCATCAAAACTAAAGTTCTAGACCTGGTTTACGAGTGCTCATTATTAGCTCCTCAGCATCCTTCCCTGCCTCCCCTCGTACCATGAGCTCACACAGCTCCCTCCAGCCTGGCGCCCCTCACACCCCGCTGCTCTCACACAGGTGGCCCTAGACTGGGAATTCTCTCAAGGCCCAAAGTTGCTGTCTGCCTGACACTTTTTGTATCACCAGTACCTAGCTAAGGCCTGGCACATATGTATCAAGTAGCTACAAGGTCAATAAACAGCTGGATGGATGGATGGATGAGGAAAGAACAAATTAGGACCTGGCTCCAGGAGTACACGGGTGGCCAGGGGAAGCCCTGGGCCCAAAGCCAGGTCTGGTTGGAGGCACCTTTAGCTTCCCAGGGACAAAATATTAGGGCTTTTTTAAAGACAGAGTAGAGACAGAGCCCTAACTTTTCCACTTGAGTCAGGAGCAGAAGAGAGTAGTGGTAAAGAGAGAGAGCCTAAGTTCATAAGGCTTGGAGCTGAACTCGTTTGCAACCCCACAAGAAGCTACTGCAGCGACACCTTTGCACCATCTCTTTGAGCCCCAGGGCAGGCCTGGCTTCCTTCTCCTCCTCCTCCCCCTCCTCCTCTTCCTCCTCCTCCAAGGCCTGGCTCCATCCTGGGAGTGGAGAAGCAGGAGCAGTCTTGGGGCAGGACTGCTGAGAGGCTTTCAGGCAGCGGCCTGCAGCGAAGGTCAGAGTGGCCTGCAGGGCTGGGTCAGGGAAGAGCCAGGAAGTCCTGTGGGGCCCCCACTTCCCCGCAGCTGGGCCTGTCAATGAACCCACAAGAGGGCTCTCCTCTGCCCGGGCAGGGAGAGTCCAGGAAGGTTGTGAAACTGCAGCACAGGGGCCAAGCATGTGGCCCTGAGAGCCTGGAAAACCTGAGTAAGCCTTTGGTTAGCAAACCCAGTCGCCGTGCTCGGGGGTGTGGCGACATTACATGCTAAGGGCTCAGCCTTCTCAGAAGCTGAGAGCCTTGGACCCTTCGTCTGAGGTCTTGTGCACCCCGAGGCAGAACCAGGGCACCAACCCCCTGAGAATTTTAAGGAGAGAACATTCTGATGGCAGTTGAAGGCAACAGTTGAAGCCAAGGCTCAGAGCAGGGCAGGATTCAGAAGCTAGGGAAAGGGCATAGGCATCTTTCAAAGGATCTCAGAGAAGGAGAGGTCCCTTGCAGACAGGGCTAGAAAAGGTTCCCGGAGACAGAGGAGAGAGCAAGAATGCAGACAAAGGGGTCTGCAAGAATCTGAGAAGAGCTGCAGGTCCAGGGAAACTGAGGGGGTGAGGACCCCCAAATGGCCAGTGGGCCAGCAGGCAAATTGATCCCTCGGGGCTCTGCTTAGGGGCCTACTCTAGAAAAAAGTCCTCCCAGACTCTGCTCAACAGGCAGGAATCATGGCTTCTTCTGTCTTAGAGCTGGTGCTTCGCAAAGGATGTTCACTGTGAATCCAGGACAACATCAAGTCCAGATGCACCCTCTGTGTGGGCACAAACCAGCATCCAGTGTCAAACACTAAAGCTATCCGTTCAACCATTCATTCATTCAACAAATACCTATTGAGCACCTACTGTGTCATGGAGGTTAGGAATGTAATCATGAACAGAAGAAGGATGAAGATGACAAGGAACTCTAAAATCCTTCTCTGAGATGACAGGGACTTTAAAGGGGCCGTACCCGACACTGGGAGCAAGCAGAGCTCTGATTTATGTATAGGGCTTCACTAAGAATGATGGAGCTGGAAAATGAAAGATGAGTGAGAATTACCTACTTGGAATGGATTAGGCTAGTGAGAAAAATGGTTTTCTAGGTAGAAGGAGGTGCAAGAGCAATGCCTAGGGGCAGGGAAGAAACTTGCTAGATTTAACAGCAGGCCAGGGGTCATGAGCTCAGAGACACCTAGGAGGAATGAGGCTGGGGAGGCAGGTACGCATCAAACCATGCATGCTCTTGGAGGTCATGGTCAGTGTTTATTTTTGGAGTTCATGTTGAATTGCTCTGGTCTTAATGCTGAAGGCAAAAGCGCAGGCAGCCGGCCAAGATGAGACTGACAGCCACAGTCAAATGAAGAAGGTTAGGAAGTGTCTGATGTACACTTTATAAGAAAAGATGAGCATGTGTATATTCATAGATACCAAGCCACAGGGGGGTTGGGCACCATAATTCATCTCTATTAAGGAGTCTCCTCTTTCCTTTGGCATCGAGGAAAAGAAAAAGTCAGGCCTCTGAGGCATAAAAAGCTCACCAAAGTCATGGTTTCAGTGGTGACAGAGGGACCTTGGCACAGTTTTGTTGAGTCTTTGTGTATATGTGTGCATAATTCTCCAAACTAAATTTATATATTGAGGTAGGAGACGTAGATTGCTATCCTATTCTGCAAATGTAAAACTAAGACTTAGGATAATTAAATGGCTTCTCAAAAGTCACAAAGGGAGAAGGAGACAGAATGCAAACTAGAAACTATCTTGTAGTTCATCTCTCAATATGCTTTCTCTAAATACCTTAGGCCCCACAAGGCTTGGAACTGACATTTGAAAAGATAAAGTAAAATAAAGATAGATTTACTCCCCAAAAGGCATCCTATACGCTTGTGAAACCAGTCAATAATATATTAACTGAGTTCCACTCTAAGTTTGCAAATAAAGATGTTAAATACTAGATCATTTACTCACCTCCGAACTGAAGGGGTTTGCGGAAAGCAAAGAAATTCTCAAAATCATCACAAAAAAAAAAAGTAGGGATAATTGGAGACGTAATGAAGTAAATGATGATACCAAGCCACAGGGGGGTTGGGCACCATAATTCATCACTAGTAAGGATGGAAACTCATCCAAATACTATTTGGATGTGTGATACTCAATTAGTACTTCCACTTGGCCATTTAGAACTTGAAAAATTCCTGGTGAAATTCACCTGGAAGACAGAGGTGCCTCCCCTAGTACAGAATGAACACCCTGAGAGCAAAAGAAGCAACAGGACCTCCACAATGAAAACAGCATTTGAATGGATTAGAGATTGGAGGTAATTACCAATGGTTTGGAAAAGAGGATCTTAGAAATGCAAACATGACCGCTTGTGGGTGAGAACATCAGTCCTTTAGGACATCTGCCCCTGGTCATCCTGCTCGATTCCATTTACCAGTTGGCTCTGACGTCATAAAAATCCTCCCCACCCCACTACCTGCCAGAGCATCTCAGGATAGGCGCTCCAGTGGCCCCCCTGCCCCAGCCTCTCATGCAGCTGTGAACATCACAGTAAGCTTCTGACAGCCTCCCCTCACTGACACACAAATCCAACCAGTTGCACCTGGCTCTTCTTCCTCTAAGCACTCGGCTCACCGCCTCCAGCTTACACATACCTGAAGTTTCCGCATTCTAAGGAAGCAGACCCCTTGGGACATCATGAGTCCACGCACGGCTGAATTCTGAGGTCCCCTAAAGCAACTGGGGGCATGCATATAGCCCATCCCAGTTCTAGGCCCTGTGCAAGCATTCATGGCTAAGCTCTCAGCCCCAGAAACTGGGAGCCAGAGAGTACAGAGGCTGGAAAAAAGGCTTAGCTCTTCCCGCAAGGGGACCTCGGTGCTCCGTTCCTCTGTCCCACCTCCTTCCCAAACTGGGACTAGCCCCACTCTGCGTTACTCCAAAATGAGCTGGACTCAGCTGGGCTGCTCAGGGTGACACATGTTCCCCAGGCTTCTTTAAAGGGATATGGAATCTCAGCTGATTCAAGAAGCCCTTCTGCATGGGCCACATCACCCGGGTGGGCTGCAGGAGGCCGGCTCCTGTGCGCCTACTTGGGGGAGGTTCGGCTCCCAGCACGGGGTCCCGGAGGCCAGGGCAGATGTGGACAGGACTCAGCGCGTCCCTCTCCACGGCTGTCTTCCCTCCACCTTCCTGCTCTGTTCCCCTCATCAACAAAATTAAGGGGCGAACCGCATCTGAGCCTGTGGTACCCTGCAGCTCTGGTGGGAGGGAGGCAAATGGGGAGAAATGGGAGAGAGGTGGAGGAAGCCGAGCTCAGAGACTGCTCCTGAGAGAAGGGGCTGCTGTCTCCAGCATCCTGGGACAACGGCCAGGTAGCAGCACAGCCCAGGCAGGCCGGGGTACCAGCCTCTGCCCACCTGCCTCCTGCCAGGTAGAGGACCCCATCTTTCAGATTTCAACCCCTTTTTTCCACCCAGAAAACACTTTTCATAACACAGACCATCCCTGACCGGAAGAATTCTGCAGGTTGTCACCCACGCCCCGAATGACCGGGGTCTTCTCTCTCTCCCTGCCTCCTCGGGGGTCCTTTGAGCATCTTTCCTCTGGTGAAGGGCACCCCAGAAAACTTCCTCTGCAGCGGCATGTTTCATTTGTCCCTTCTCCTACTCCTTTTGGGGTGAGTCTCTCCCCTGCCTTTCCTCCCATCGCCTCCACTTCCCCCCACCTCCCTTCTTTCACGTGATGTGAAAGGGCTGATGTTGGCCCCACTCACCACCCCTATGCTCGGGGTGCATCCTCGGCCTGCGTCCACACCCCTCCCAGGCCACGATGCCCCCAGAAACACTCAGCCTTGGTTAGGGGGCCATTAACAAGGGCACCGTGACTTGCATTTCCTGCCGGAGCCCCAGACCAACCATGCCTTCTGGAAGGCTGCAGGCCCTTGCTCTTGACACCCCTTCCCTCCACCACCTACTCAATCGTCTTTCAAAACCCCTTCATATATTTTCAACCCAAGACACAGCACAAATTTTAGTAATCTAATGAAGTCTGTGTTGCAACTTCTCTTCCACACCTAAATGTTACACATTCTTCCAGATGTCAAGTTGAAATGAATCCTCTGGACACTCCAGGAAAGAAAAAAAAAAAAAAACCTCCTTCATGCTTCACACTTTCATCCAAAAACAAGCATGCCGACTTGTGAGCATTTTCAGAAGGGTCTCTTGGGAATTCAAATTGCTCATCTCTTCAGTACAGGGTCTGTCATTAGGAGTGGCAGAGCTGAATCGCCTTTTAAGTCTTAAAACTTAACTGGGCTTGGTTTAGCAAATCAAAAACTGAAGTGCTTGCTTCCCAGTCACGTGGTTTGGACTAAATACCATTTTATAAAAAGTTTGAGGACTTTCCGTTGGAAGTGTGTGGCGGGGTGGGTGGGGGGGTGTTGACAAAGAATGATCTCTGTAAAACTGAATCCATAATATTATCATCTGCCATCCAGAAATACTCTGGCAAAAGTGGGTGGCGGTGTGCAGGGGGACCACCTGCAACCCATTTCAGAGCCTTCATCTCCTGAGATACCATTGTTCTCTTTTGTGCCTTGACGGGGATGGGAACAGAGGACCTGCTCAGTCCGTGAGTACCGCAACCCCGTGAACAAGGGTTTGGCCATGTCTCTGAGAGCCGATCCCCGGCATCTTTTGTCCCGATGCCGACATCAAGGCTCCCCCAGGGAGACGGGCTCTCTGCCAGCCATCGCTGTCGCTAGGTAGCCAAGCCGTCCTCTTCCAGACTGGCCCTGGCTCTCTGGCCGCCCAGCTCTGGGATGGCCTCCACGTCCAGGGCACCTTTGGGACCGAAGTCCTTGACAGTGGTGCTTTTTGGTCTTTGAAGGTGAGGCAGGAATGGGACAGGGGGAGAGAGAGGCAAAATGAAGGGACTCCTGGGAGAGCCCCGACACCCTCCCCCCAGGGCTGCCGCACCCCCAAACACACCCCCCCACGCCTCTGTTCATGACCTGCTCTTTCCAAAGCAAAATGTCATGGGGATATGGGGCCTTATGTGTCTTTTCTGTGAACTTGACTTGGTTCAGAAGGAAGCCTGAACCTTCGTGGTTAATGCTGAAGGTCTCAGCCTCCAGCGTCTCGTCATAAAACACTCACTGGCTGGAGCCTCCCCTCTGCCCGCTTCAAGGGAAAGTTCTGCACAAGTGCTTCCAATCCAATCAAAAAGACATCCCCGAAGCAAGCTGCGAAGCGGCCGCTAATTCTGAGCAGACAGTCTACTCAGCCCAAGGCCTCTGGGGCCCAAGCCCTGGGGGAGACACTGATGCCTTCGGATTCCAGATCCTCTGGAGAGAGGCACCTGCATGGGCCTTTCTAGAAGAAAACTCAAGCTGCATCCCACCACCCTGCCCCCACTCCCCACCCCATCCCCCAACGCAGCAGAGCTCTCTGCCAGACAGGTCGCTCACAGCCAGCGGGGCACAGGTCTCTCAAGGTCTCCGGCCCCAGTGACACGGGCCTAAAGCTCCCGTTGTCTGTCCTCTTGGTCTGAAGGAAGGAAAGTGATGAAGCCAGGGCTGTCAGCAAGAGAGCTTGAGAAAGAAGGAACTCTCCAGCCCTGATCCCCCTTTATACAATATGTAGGGCTTAGGGTGCCAAACACCCTGGGCTGGGTTTGGAAATTGTAGTTTCTGACCAGGGTCCCTGAGAGAAAAAAAGAAAAAGGAAAATCAGAGACTCTGTGGGTCTCTTTTCCTCTCATGTAAATTTACAGGGTTAGGGGCATCTGGATCATCTCTGGATTGCCCCTACAACCCAATACCCAGACTGTGGGAGCATGTCCCCACGGTGTCCAAATGGGGACTCAGCCTGGTCCCTCCTTTCCATGTGGCAGACTGTGCCCCACAGTCAAGGCCAAAGGCTGCTCTTCACGTTAAAACCGTGAACGCTTTGCAGCAAGAAACCAGATCTTCAAACCCCAAACCCACGGAATCTTGTATTCCACCAACATGTATTGAGTACTTCTTAAGGGGCCAGGTACAGGAATGATGGGAATTGGATCTGAGCATGGTCCCTGCCCTCAAGGAATTCACGGTCTAAAGGAAGAAACAAACAAAAGAAAAACCCAGGAGTATCTAAGGAAAACCTCTCTCCATCTCTCGGAGGTTGACTCAGCCCTGTTAGCAACAGCCCCCACCATGAATTAATTCAGCAGGGAACCAAGAGGAGGTGTAATCCCAGGTTTGGGGGTTGGGAGGTGGAGGGGAGGGTGGCCAGGGAGAGGGATTTAGGAGAAAGCATCCCTCGCATAAATCTCTATTTGCTATGAGCTAATCGAGATGTCTGCTCAAGGCTGAAGGTCTGGGCCAGTTAGAATATTTCGGAGATAGATCCCTTATATTTAGCAGTGAGAGCTCTCTGAATGGGACTCAATCCACTTCCACCCTCCCTAAGGCACAAAACAGTGCCCTGTCGGCAGCTGCCTCTATGTACCAAGGAGAGGAAGTTTGAGCAATGCAGGTTTTGTTGGAACCAGCTCATTAAAGCACCGCTATGACTGACTGCCGCCTGTTGGAATTGAGGACAAGATTGTCTCTGCAGAAAATTATAGACTGTATCCCCAGCTCTGAAAAGGGGGTTTAGGAACCAAATTCACATAGTAGGAGGATGCGAGCTTCTTTAAAGTTCAGGCAAAGGATTTCATTGCTTCATCTGGATTAAAACCTTAAGATGCCAGCTCCAAGGGATCCTGACACACGGGTGGTGGTTTCTGCGCGCCATTCAAGGATGCCCGCCCATCATGGTGGGAGTCCCGGAGCTGAAGACTTCTTAGTGTTTACCTGGTTTATTTTATTTCGTTATTAATGTAGATAGAGCCTTTCAGTGAAGGTATTGCAGGTTTGAAGGTTACGTCAGACCCCTGAAGATAGAACCAGAAAGTTCAGAGGCCTGCCCACGCACACTCCTTCCCCGGAGTTCAGAGTAGGCTCTCTCTCTCAGTCTGCCTTTCCAAATGCTACTTTAGGATTTCCCTCTGATCCATCTGCTCCATCTTAACCCTCCAAGAAACTCCAAAGAGTTGTCTTCCTCACTGGGGACAGAGATGGTTTCCAGTTTCCCCCTGGGGTATTCTCTACTTAGAGCTTTTGCCTCAGTCCAGTCCTGGCTGCCTTGTCAGTTTTTCCCAGGATTCTTCCTCCCTCGACTCTCCCCCTCATTCCCGTTTCCCGACAACCAGAGGCATGGTGTGCTGCCCCAGTCCTAGCTGGGTCTTTCTCACCTCCGCCCCTGGCACAGCCAGGGCAGCGCCCCCTCCAGCAGGGGGCTTTCCCCTCTCCCCACCACCCTTCTCAGCACACAGCAAGCCAGAGAAGAGGGAGGCGTGGGGGGGAGTCTCAAGAGTTGGTCTGCTGAAACATGTAAGGTGCCTGCTTCTGGAAGGCACCTGCCTCCCTGTCTTCATTTCCAAATGCTGAGAAACAGTGCTCACAAGCCCCTCTTTGCCCCAACCTCTTGACTCTGCAACCTGGCCCTGTCCCGGCTACCCGTCTGCCTAGCCAGCCCCCACAGCCAAAGCCTCTCCTTGCTCAGCAACATCAACTTTGGGAAAGCATCTCTCTAGCCATCCACGTGAAGACGTCCTGCCGGCCCCTTCTGCACAGAGTCTTGCACCTTTGAGCCTCCTACTCCTAGAATGAAGGAGCAATTAGAAGGTCCCCTGGGAGACGCCATTGCCTTCTCTTGGCAACATGGAATGGTCAGGCCAAGTAACCACGGGCTGATGACACTTGTCTGGTGAAACTGGGTCTCCATGGGCAGAGACGCTTTCCCCCGGGGAGGTCTGGAAGGGGAAGCGCCCAGCCCCGCCAGCCCTGGGGCATACAGTGCATTCAGTATGCTGGGGAGAATCCCGAGGCTCCTGGGGGGCCTGGGAGGGGCAGCTCAGTGATGCAAAAAGGAAAACAAAGCCAGCCAGACTGGGACTCAGGAAAAGGGGGCTTCCCTTGAAGCAGAAAGGGAGGTTTTCACAAAACAGAGAACAGAACCTGGAACACAGCCCCCCCCTCTCTCACCCTGGGCTGCATGCAGGGCTTCTCTGTGGCCCTCCTTCCCCAGGACATCAGTTCTCTTAGGCTTGAAGGATCAGCCTTTACTCGCGGCAGCTCTTTCCTTCCTGGGTGGCATGAAAATGATGCACGGCAGTTTCTGGCTTCAGTCTCTTGTCTCCTCAAATCAGATTGTCCAGTGCGAGGCTCTGGGCACCTACAGCCACCAGACAGATTCCCGACACCCCTGGGGTCCACAGTCCACCCCTGTTCTAAGCAGAACAGGAGCTCCAAAGTCAGGAACATTGTCTAACCTGGCGAAGCAGGAACAGAATTCAGAGATGGAGTTCACGTTTGGTGGTGATGGAGGCTGGGCCATCTCGGAGACGGCCCAGCGGCCTGCCCACCTAGGACTTGCAGCACTGAGGGGCAGCCGGAACTCGGAGGTGGGACCCTGAGAAGGGAGGAGCCATCAGAAGGCACTGTTGGAGAGCAATCAAGCCTCAGCAATCCCTGAGGCTCTGGGAAAGGACTTAAGGACTTGGCCCATAGGAAGAGTTCTAGGTAGTCTTTGATCACTGCAGGCAGAGGGAGCAAAGGGGAAAGCCGTGTGGTCAGTCACATGAGCAGAGACCAGGTGAAGACAGGCGGACAGGCTGACTTGAGAGGATGCCTGAGAACTTTCTGGAAAAGAGGGAAATGCAAGGAGAATGGGAGGTGTAAGAGGACTTAGTCCTTCCTTCGGAAAGGGCAAAGTGTTCACAGGGAGGGGCGGGTTTTAGGTTGGAACCTCAGTTCTGCAACATCTGATTCGCTAGAAGGCTGCAGTCTGTACTTGAGCTTCCTCTTCTGAAAAGCAAAAGTGGTATAAGTCAAGGGAATGATAAAAAGATGAATCAGACGTGTCCCCTCCTTGACCTATACTGGGTTCATCTCAGTTCAGTTCACTGGGCTCAGTGGGACCCCTTCAGCTTCCTGTTCACGGTTAGTGCTTCTCAATCGTGTGCACGCCATCCACTCTCTCTGTCTCAGCCTTTGTTTCCTCCTGCCTCGGGGCTCTCCCCAGCTTCCCTCCGAGCTGGACCAGGCAGTGGGGGCCCCACCCTATGGACCGTCCCGTCCAGAGCCAGGGGCCTGGGGACAGGCACACAATGCGTGCTGGGTGCACTGAGTGGTCGCCCCACCCACCAGGAGTCTTCTCTGAGCTCCAGCTTTTGTCCAATCACTGGCCACTCACATGGAAAAGAGAGGGCATGTGTGCAGGCCTCAGCTTCCTGGTCTCTAAAACGGAAGCCTGGTCTTCGAGTCCTCTCGGAGGCCTCTCTTGGAAAAGAAGCTGATTTAAAAAAAAAAAAAAAACTTCATCTTCGAGATTTAATAAACAGAAAAGTATGGGAAAGGTACACCCATAGAAATGTCTGTTTCAGAGGTGCTCTGAGGTTACCAGCGGAGGTAAATTTGACCTCCAGCTGCTCCCTCGGAGCTCAGAGAAGCTCTGTGGTTTAAAAAAAACACAACAACAAAAATCAATGCTCTTGAAACAGGAGCTCTGTATCAAGAGAGAAAAAAATTCAGAAGAGACACTGGCTCTTCCTTTCTTTCCACTCATTCCTTTCTTGGCGGGCTGAATCGCAGTGTCCTGGTGGAAGGGGACATTTGAAATTCCATAGAGCCTCCACCAAGGCCGGAAACTGGCTCAAGATCTTCAATCAGTCACAGTGGCCTCAGTCCACATGCAGGTCCTCCAAGAGACCCCGACTGGGCCGAGTGAACACTTGGCCCTTCTGACCGGGCCATGGTCAGGTCCACCGGGCAGGTCCTGAAATCATCCATGTAGGCTAGCATGTCTGCCTCCACTGCTAGACTGTGAGCTCCTCGAGGGCAGGGGTGGTTGGCCCCCTTTTCAATCAGGGAGCACACTTGTTTTCCAACGACTGACTTGTAGATGACTAAAACGTATCCGCGATGTATTTTAATTAGGTAACTGGCTTTGGTAAACAGTAGGCCATAGTACCATGCCCAGAACTGAAGGACACAGACCAGAAAGAAGTCCTGAAGGGTGCAAACCATGAGTTTATTTGAAGGAGGAGGGGGCAGCCACTGAGTTTGATGTGCCAACTGAAAGTGTCCAATCTGGTGTAAAGCACCTGGAGATACAGAACTAGGGCTCAGAAAAGCAGTCAGGAATATGTTTGGGGAAATCAGCATATTGACTTAAGCATCATGGGTATGTATGAGACAAGCCTAGGAGAGAAGAGTGACCAGGGCACTTGAGGCTGGAATTCTGGGGAAGTCCATTTCCTAGAGGACAAGAACGTTGGCCTTAGAACTGCAGAAAAGCAGAGGGACAAGCAGGAAGATCATGGGGGGGGGGAAGGGAGGAGGGAGTTTCAAGAAGGAAAGCCTGAAAATTGAGGCGGGGTCCTTAGTCAAGTGGTTTTGAGAGAAACAGAGTGGGTGGGGGCAGGCCTGATGGTCAAATTCTTCCTATAGTAATGGAAAGTGTGGAAATAAATTGAAGAAGGTGATATTACAAGGAGCAAGGTGGACGCAGCAAAAAGTTTTATAAGCAAAACAAGCAAACAAAAAAAAAACCCACAGGAGCCTTAGCTAGCTCTCTGCCTGGCTATGTTTCTTTCTGTAGTGAAAGATGTTCCGCACTCTTAAGTTTTAACCAGCAGACAAGAAGCTGAGGTTCTCCAAGTCTTCCTTAAACTCCTGTTATCATCCTCTCCTTCAAGTCTGTTATTTCTCATGGGAGAATGGCAAGAAAGACTAATTCCATTATGGAAAGTATTCTCAAAAGGACATGAAGGCGCACAAATGCCCCCTAGGGCTCTGCATCTGTTTGTGCAGAGAACAGGATGCGTAGATTCTACATGAGGCTAAAATGGAAAAGTTGTCTTCCTCAAATCGCAAACAGAAGCTATGCACACAGAACAAAAGATGACTTCCTGTACACCCACGGTCCTTCTTCCTCTACATCCAGTCTGCTCAGAGGATTGGGAAATGGAAGCAGCAGCGAAACACCTGTCCTCCAGGGGTCTGTGGTCTACCTGTAACCGCACTCAAATACTCCAAGGGCCTCTTGCTTTTTGGAATCATCCAAACCAGAATTGGGGGTGGGGCCACTGGACCTGTCAATTGCTAGACTTGAGTAAGGAGCATAAAGCTCCCTGGGCCTGTTTCTTGGTCAGTAAAACAGGAAGAATTTTTTGCATTTTATATTAGGACTGGAAACATACATGAAGCAGTTGACAACAGTGGCTGGCATACACAAGAAGAGTTGCCTTGATCACTCTGGGCGCAACGTGAGGACAGAATTCATATAAAATCGAGCCAGGGAGGGCAGAGAAAATGAAAACGGCTTCTTGGAGAAGGTGAAAATAAAAGTTAGCCTTCAAAGGTAAATATTTTTCCCCCTAAACAAGATGCTGCTTGCGAAGTCTAACCTATTCATCCACCCATCCATCCATTCATTCAGCAAACATTTTTGGAGCACCCCGAACATGCTTATGAACACATTAAGGCCTTAGTAGCACAGCTAAGCCACCAGACATTTCCGATCAGATATTGGCAAATAAGTCAAGCTTCAAACCCGGTAACTCCTATCTCCTTTTTCCTTATGTCTATCAGAAATGCTGTAAACATGATGTGAATCTCTAGAGCCATTTGTAGGGTTTTTCCTATTTTTAGTGAAATTTTTTTCTTTTCAACTGCCCTGGCTTTTCACAAAGAATCGAGCATCTACACATTGTAGAATTTCTTAGCAAAATAAAGCAACTGTCCTCATATAATGCTTTTAGAATAATGCTTGAGACATCCCTTTGTTGAAGTTCATCACTAGAGAGCCACTCTTCCCTCCTGCAGGGACCTTTCTCTTCACTCGTCACGGCTTAAAGAGCGTCAGGGATGAAGACGCTTTGGAGAGATGAGAGAGAGATCAAATTAGGTTTTTTTTTTTACTAGCCAAAACCTCCTCACTTTTGAAAATACAAATATCTATGAAGTTTGACCAGTCTGTTCTTTGTTATCCGGTCTCAGCCATCCATTTTTCTAATTGCTCTGCAAAATTCAAGCACATGCTTTCTTTACCCGTGGCCCCCCTTACTCTAAGAGAAAGCCAGCAGGCAGCCCATCCTGATATCAGCAGACGCTGCCGCTAAAACTTCCTGCAAAGGAAAAGGGTAGAAGCCACAAAAGGTCCTCGACCTCTTGAGCCCAAACCCAAGAATTTGAGGGGTCCTCAACCATCAGCCCATCTCATCCCGGAGCTCTGTGCACCCAGAAATCCCACCTCCTACTCAAATAGAAAGACTTAGCTCTGTCTCCTAAGTTCACACAGGACCAGGAGGAGTTATAGTGATGTATTTGTCAACCGTGCACCTACTTTTCTTGTTGCTGAACTGTGTCATCGATCATTGTCTGGGGCTTGGGTTCCCTCTCCAGCCCTCCACAGGGAGCTGGCCAGAAAGGGAGACTTAGATGCCAAATAATTGTCTTTAGAGAACTTTCTAGTGAATAAAGCACTCACAAAAGAAGAACTGAGACATGTTCTTTATTAACTTGTGTATTATATTGACGGCTACCTCTTATTACACCAGGTGATTCTCCTTGGTGTTTCTGACATGTGTTTACTCACATCATCTTCAATAACCATTGCAAGCCGTGCTACTCAAAAGTGTGACCTGTAAATCAGCAGCATCACCACCATCCAGGAGCTCATGAGCAGTAATAGGCATCTTGGGCTCCCACTGAGGGCCAGTGAGATCTGAACATGTCTTTTAACAAGCTGGCGTGTTCCTGTTCCTCTTTGGGAAGTGGTGCTCTTGTCACTGCTATTATCCCCATTTCATAGATAATGAGACCAAGACACAGAGAGGCTAGGTAACATGCACAAGAATATGCAGAAAGTAAGTGGCAGAGCTGGGATTCACACTGAAGAGGTCAGGGGTCAGAGCCCGCTCTCTGCATCCCACACAGTGCTGACATGGAATCACCACTTAAATACCTCCCCAGACTAATCGCTTATCCCCAGACCCCTCCATTCTGCTGCCAGGCTCTACGCAAAACCCTGCCTTCATCATCGATCCCAACACAGTATTCAGTGTCTCCCCAGGACCCCAAAGACTGGGTCTAAATCCTCTTTCACAAGAGTAAAACAGTAAGACAGTAAGACAAGACCTCTGACAATATGGCCCCAGGCAGCCTTATCAGCTTCATCTTTTAGCTCTCTCTGCCTCCCCACTCCTGTTACCCAAACTTGGGGACAGCCTTGCCTCCTCTCACAGATGGGAAGTGCCTTGTACCTAGAATTTTCCTCCTCCTCCACCTGGCAAGCCCAAACCCAAGCCCAAGTGTCAGTTCAATGTGGAGGCATTTCCTAGCACCTTTGGCCAAACTGTATCATCTGAGGCCCTGCGTGTGGGCTTATAATGCCTAGCTCACAACACGCTGATAAATCTTGTAAGAGGTTATGGATACACATTTCTTCTACAGCTCCAAAACGTGACCCCCCACTAGAGGAGGCCACACCGTATGTGTCTTTGAGCCCGCAGGGACCACCGCGGCACTTTACCTGCAGGGGTGAGCTCTGCGCGGTAAGTCAGAAAAGTCAGCGGGCTGCCTTGCTCCATGGATGGATGGGGAGAATGGGGGCTTTATCCAGTGACACTCCTGCCTCTGTAAAGGGAAAGGGTCACCTTCCAGGTTATGTTTTCAAGAAAGGCAATCTTGGCAGAAGCAGCTCAGCCTATTTGATGAGGAGCTTCATCTTAAAAGGCACCAAGCCTCTTAGAGTAGAGGCCAGAGAGTACAGTTTCATCACCATAGCCTTTCTGTTCACATCTTGATACTTGAGGGGATTCCCTCAATGTCCGTTTAGATTGCGATGTTCTTAACTAAAAGTGATATCCTGTATGAAGCCAGCACCCAGGCTATTTGGCCTAACGGGACCTGGCCCTTTCAGGATGGAGGAAATTATTTCACTTCATAATGCTTCCTCTTATTAAAGTTCTACATCTTGCATCAAATCAACTCGCCCTTTGAAACAGCCTCCTGGGCCAGCATCCAGATCCTATCTCCCCCTATCTTTCTGGCTCATAAACCTCTTCACCATTTTGCCATTTTTAATAAAGACATGAGTTTTGGTTTAAAAAAAAAAGCGGGGGGGGGGGGAGGGCTCCTGGGAGGTCTAGGCACTTTGGGAAGCTGTCCTGAACACAAAACCAACTCTGAGACCATATCCGCCAGCAAGGCAGTATCTATTTTTTGAAAAATCTTAGATGTCAACACTTTCCCCAAAATATTCAAAGAAAAACCAAAAATTAAGCCAGAGACTGTATTAGAAGAGGGAGACTAAAAAACCTGTCCAGTTTTTTCTTGATTACTAAAGAATATGCCTATTTGAAGACAGTCTCCATTGTTAAGTATCATAGTTGGCATTCCAATTTAATATTTTTATGTCTGACTCTTTTTGCAACCCCATGGACTGTAGCCTGCCAGGATCCTCTGTCCATGGGATTCTCCAGGCAAGAATACTGCAGTGGGTTGCCATTCTCTTCTCCAGGGCATCTTCCCAACCCAGGGATAAAAACTGGGCCTCCTGCATTGCAGGCAGATTCTTTACCATCTGAGCTACAAAGAAGTCCAATATTTTAATTTGATTTAATATCAAATGATATCTAATGTTAATTTTTAATTTTATAAACCCTTGAAGTTTTCAACCATTTGTAATATTCACAGGTGAACCTCAGGAAATGATGATCCTGGGGGGATTTGCAAGACCTACTTTTACTTCTCACCCCCAGCCATCTAGAATCAGTAGGAGTGATCTGTGTGTGTCTGCCATGGAACCTCTCTTTGCCCAGGGACTCTAACGGCCCTCCACTCAGTCAGCCCCAGTCCTGGATCCCACTAGCTCTCAACATGTGGGAAAACAAACCGGGCACCTCGCTCCTGGCCTTTGTGTTCGTCCCTGGACCTGTGGTGCCACCTCATGCCTGCCCATTTGCCATCATCCTAGATCCCTCAACTAGCCCCTCAACGTCCATCTCCTCCGCTAGCACGGAGTGGGCTAGCTAGCGATGTCTTCCACCATGCCCACCAGGAAGCTCTCCTTGCCACCTCCCTTATCCTTAAAGAACTTTTGAAACGCAATGGTAATTAGCAATTAATATATCTGACCACATGTTCCTGCCAGCTTGATATCAGGAGCTAAATTACACTCCATTCATTTCTCCCTACAGTGCCTGGCACCTAACAAGTACTCAATAAATGTTTGTTGGATTAGCTGGATGAGTAAATTTCCCTGCACATTTTATGAATGCTAGCTGTGATTATAGACAAACATAGAAGTCTGTGTATTTATAATAGTCTTTCCTAAGTGCAGTTTTTAATTGTGCTGTATTAAAGCGAGACAAATTGAAAAGAATAAGAATATTGATGAGTCGTACTCATGACACCTTTATTTTCTGTTAATTAGGAAAGTTGCAGTAGTTCCAAATAAAATGGTACTTGGGTCACCCGTGCAATAGGTATGAAACAAGAGTAAAGCTGGAAGCCCAGGTGAGCCAGAATTTTGCTGCACCAAGGCAGCTTTTAACCTCAATCTGTATTGCAAACACAGTGGAAGGAGGGGAAAGGGGTTTATAGAGATATTGGGAAATGCTATGGAGGAAAACATTTTACGAGTAGACAGATATTTTCCAGGCAGCTCTCAGACCAGATGATCTTCACTTTTTTCCCCCTTTGTTTCCTAAAACAAAACTGTAAAGCTTTTTTCGGCACCACAGGACACAGCACAACTAGAAGGAACTTGAAAAGCAGCTCTTCCTCACTGGGGGCTCCCAAGGTATCACCATGGTGAAAATTCATATAACAGCAATCAGCAGTTCCCCTGGACTTAAAAAAAATTTTGAAAAATTATTTTGAAAAACTGCAGCAGGGAGACTGAGATCCCTTGTAGCATTCACTTTGTAGCAAGAAGCACAGATAGTGGTTAAGAGCTTTGAAGCCAGATTGCCTGGGCTGGACTCTGGATCACCTGGTGAGTAGCTCTCATTTTTGTTTGAGTAACCTAACCTCACTGTCTCAGTTTTCCTTCTCTGTAAAATGGGGATAATTATACCCTAAAGACTTGCTTTGAGGGTGAAACAGGTTAATACTGAGAAATAAATGGGTTAACATTGTCAAGGGCTTAGAAACATGCTTGGCATGTACCAAATGCTGTCGCTACACAAAGAGTAACATCCAGTGCAGACGCGACAAGCACTAGTCAGATAAAGATACAAAAGGAAGGCATGATATCCATATTATCTTCTGTGAAGTGTCTGTTCATGTCCTTTGCTCATTTTCCTTGGGTGATTTGTCCATTTGTTATTTCTAAGAGTTCTCTATTGACTCTGAGTCCCAGTCCTTTATGAGATATGTGTATTTGAAACACATCAGAAGATGCTCAGAATCATGACTCATTCAGTTCAGTTCAGTCACTCAGTCGTGTCCAACTCTTTGCAACCCATGAATCACAGCACACCAGGCCTCCCTGTCCATCACCAACTCCCGGAGTTTACTCAAACTCGTGTCCATCGAGTCGGTGATGCCATCCAGCCATCTCATCCTTTGTTGTCCCCTTCTCCTCCTGCCCCCAATCCCTCCCAGCATCAGGGTCTTTTCCAATGAGTCAACTCTTCGCATGAGGTGGCCAAAGTATTGGAGTTTCAGCTTCAGCATCAGTCCTTCCAATGAACACCCAGGACTTGTTTCCTTTAGGATGGACTGGTTGGATCTCCTTGCAGTCCAAGGGACTCTCAAGAGTCTTCTCCAACACCACAGTTCAAAAGCATCAATTTTTTGGTGCTCAGCTTTCTTCACAGTTCAACTCTCACATCCATACATGACCATTAGAAAAACCATAGCCTTGACTAAGTGGACTTTTGTTGGCAAAGTAATGTCTCTGCTTTTTAATATGCTATCTAGGTTGTTCATAATTTTCCTTCCAAGGAGTAAGCATCTTTTAATTTCCTGGCTGCAATCACCATTTGCAGTGATTTTGGAACCCCCAAAAATATAGTCTGATAGTTTCCATTAGGGAAATGCAAATTGGAACCACAATGATGACACCCACAAGAATGGCTAACATTAAAAAGACAGATGAGACCAAATCTTGGGGAGGATATGGAGCTACTATAATTCTCAGTGAACTGCTGGTGGGAGTGTAAAAGGATATAACCATTTCGGTAAACAGTTTGGTAGTTTCTCATGGAGTTAAACATTCACTTACCCTATGACTTGGGTATTTACCCAAGAGAAATGAAAGCACATGTTTACACGAAGAACTAATAGAAGAATATTCACAGCTGCATTTTCAGAACAGCCAAACACTGGAAACAATGCAAATGTTCATCAACAGCAGAAGGGACAGCACCCGATGGAGTATTGATCTAACGGAACAATGACCAAGATGAATCTCATGGACATGATGTTGAGCGGAAGATGAGTAGACACTGTGTGCTTTCATTTATGTAAAGTTCATGGACAGGCAAAACTACACAGATAGAAATAAGAAAGCAGTTACCTCTGGGCGGGAGGGGGGTTGACTGGAAAGGACCAGAAAGAAACATTCTGTAGCAGTGGTTCCAACAGGGGGTGATTCTGTCACCGAGAGAACATTCAGTAATGTTCATTACTTTGTCATGTTCTAGCATCTTCCATGACAGAATGGAAACTGTTAACTCTCCTACAATGCCCAGGGCTGCTACCCACAACAAAGGGTGACCCAGCTCCACATGTCAGTGGTGCAGAGGTTGAGAAACCCTTGTCTGGAGTAATGGAAAATGTTCTATAGCTGGATTGGTTACATGGGTTTGGCAAAACTCATCAAGCCATATTTTGCTGAATGTAACTGTAACCCCAGTTTTAAAAAGACACTAAACAAAATGACAAAAGGAAAGGAAACACATCATGAGATGTTCCCTTAGACACATGTGGTTCCATTATTAACCTTCTGAGGAAGAATCATCAGTTTTACTAGACCCATGCTGCACCTATACCAGTATTGTATGTAGTCTGATTTCATCAACCATTAATAAACATATGTAATTTGTCAAGAGTGTGAGTTCATTTTTTTGCCACTAATCCTTTTGGATGACCCTACCAAACCCTGAGTTAACCACAATTCCTTCTGAGGTTGAGGCCAGATCTCAACCAGGAAGGACCCCATCAACAGCCTAGTGATTAGAAACCTTGCACACGATGGATAGGTAACCTTTGGATAAAACTCATTCCTTTATTTATCTTTTTTTTCCATTTATTTTTATTAGTTGGAGGCTAATTACTTTACATCATTGCAGTGGTTTTTGTCATACATTGAAATGAATTAGCCATGGATTAAACTCATTCCTTTAAACAACTTGGAAGATACTGAAAGGCAATAGTTTTTAGTAGATTTTTTTTTTAGTATTTGAGAAATAGATCTATAGAGGAGCATAGGAAGCTAGGAGATGTATCTTACTTTTTGAGAGAATATCAGGGAATGAGCAAATCCTTCCACAAACTATTCATTGGTGCAACAGCCAGCGAAGCCTAATAAAGGTTAACAACCCCATCTGACTGTATAGAGTCAAAGCATTTAAAAGGTATTGTCATACAGGTCAAGCTACAGATCATACAGATTCAGCAACTCTGAAAGGTAAGACAGCTATTAATCCTCCCACAAATAAGCGAGTCTTAGAATTTAGATGCTTTGCTAATGACACAAATGGATTCAGGATACAAACCCATAATCCTGTGGAAGGACACAGATGGAGGAAGCACAGAGGCAGGAGTCTATGTGGGCAAGGCAGCTTGCTAACTGGAGCCTGAGGCCCCCGTTCCACTTTTGGACCACACTCTGGGTACCTGGGAACCCAACCTTGTTGTCCAAAGAGCCCCAAGCCCACATTCATGGGCACTGTGAGCATCTTTCCCAATTCTCTTGTCCTAAGGATAGACATCACCAGTGTGACCATGCTTAGACCAAAGGGGTGGTCACAGTTATCAGAGAAGAAAGTATCAGTAACACTTGGGTGTGTGAGCTGGGTCATCTACGTGTGGACACTTGGGCTCCTTGCAGCATAGGATGAATATTGGGATGAGAAGAAAATGGGTAGTCAGGCCAGTGACCATTTTTCCCAGTGCTAACATGTTCTCCATGCAAATACAAAGAGTATGAGAGCTCTTAAGTCTGAACCTATCCTTCCAGATCATCATGAAGGTATATTTGCTAAAACAGGAGTAGAGTATTAATAGTTTGCTAGTTTGGTTTATGGGCTTCCCTTGTAGCTCAGACAGTAAAGAAACTGCCTGCAATGCAGGACACCAAGGTTCAATCCCTGGGTCAGGAAGAGCCCCTGGAGAAGGAAATGGCAACCCACTCCAGTATTCTTGCCTGGAGAATTCCATGGACAGAGGAGCCTGGTGGGCTACAGCCCACAGGGTCGCAAAAAGTCAGATACAATGGAGGGACTACACTTTCATTTTCTTTTTTCAGCTTGGTCTATAATTTACATGTTGTTAAAAAGTACATGGACCTTCATTTGCACCCTTGTCTTATGCCGTACAAATCTTCAGGCAGGTCTGAAGTCAGGTACAGATGGGAAGTTCAAGGACACTGAGTTGGGCTATAGCACCGGGATTCTAGCTTTAGGGAGAGTAGGAAAGAAGAGAGGAACAGACTTCCCAGTGCCTCGAGCATCCCTTTCCTCCTGCCCTGCTTTTGTTTCGGTCACTAAGTCAAGTCACATTCTTTTGCAACCCCATGGAATGTAACTTGCCACGCTCTTCTACCCATGGGATTTCTCAGGCAAGAATACTGGAGTGGGTTGCCATTTCCTTCTCCAGGGGATCCTCCCTATCCAGGGGTCAAACTCTGGTCTCTCCAGTATTGCAGGTGGGTTCTTTACCACTTAGCCATCAGGGAAGCCCTTCCTCCTGCCCTTGAATTCTTCTGTTAGAAAACTATTATTTCCCACCCACACCCCCATCTCCCTGGTGAAAGAAAGGATTGGAGGTGATTGTTGACTGTTTCGCAGCCACAGTTCTAAGCACTTTCTTATGTAAATTGTTATGTTAATTGTTATGTTATATGTTAATATGTTTTGCTATATGTTAATACGTTATGTTAATTGTTATGTTAATTGATTTTAACTTATGTTAATTGATTTTAACATGTTAATTGATAGCAGTAAGGCTGCACTGTGAAACCTGGATACAGGATATTTCATAACCAAACTCTTTATCATGTAAATATCCATTCCCAATTTTCTAAAATTTATTAGAGATGGACAGTCTTGTCAAATAATTTTGTTATCTACTGAAATGACCATTTTTTTGTTTGCTAAGTACAATGAAAACTAAATCATCGTGAATTTCCTAGGATAAATCTATGTTTGCCAATTTCAAAATATTGAAATGTTGGTATTTTAAGATTTTGTTTTAAGCAGTATTTTTTTCTATACTGTTAAATTTTCCCCCAGTTTTGTCTGATTTTTTAAAGCCAAGAAAAGCTAACAGAAGAATCATGGTTTTTGAAATTTATGAGAATTCATTCATTAATCTATCTAGTCTTAGAGATTATTTAATCCCTTGATAACTTATAAATTTTTGCCTCAGCTATTTCTTATATTTCTTCAGTTCCTAGAGATCATTTCAGTCAATGTAATTTTTTTCAAAATCATATTTGTGATTTCAAAAATATTACCAAAATTGTGCATGATTTTTATAGCCATTTTAAAGCCCTTTTTTCTATCTGTCCAACATTTTCTTTCTTATTCCTAAGCAAGTAAGTTCAGTCACATAGTTGTGTCCGATTCTTTGTGACCCCATAGACTGCAACATGCCAGGCTTCCCTGTCCATAACCAGTTCCCAAAGCTTGCTCAAACTCATGTCCATCAAGTCTGTGATGCCATCCAAGCATCTTATCCTCTGTTGTCCCCTTCTTCTCCTGCCTTCAATCTTTCCCAGTTCAGGGTATTTTCCAGTGAATCAGTTCTTTGCATCAAGTGGCCAAAGTACTGGAGTTTCAACATCAGCATCAGTCCTTCCAATGAACACGCAGGACTGATCTGCTTTAGGATGGACTGGTTGGATCTCCTTGCAGTCCAAGGGACTCTCAAGAGTCTTCTCCATCACCACAGTTCAAAAGCATCAATTCTTCGGCACTCAGCTTTCTTCACAGTCCAACTCCCACATCCATACATGACTACTGGAGAAACCATAGCCTTGACTAGACGGACCTTTGTTGGCAAAGTAATGTCTCTGCTTTTTAATATGCTGTCTAGGTTGGTCATAACTTTCCTTCCAAGGAGTAAGCGTCTTTTAATTTCATGGCTGCAATCACCATCTGCAGTGATTTTGGAGCCCAAAAAAATAAAGTCAGCCACTGTTTCCACTGTTTCCCCATCTATTTGCCATGAAGTGATGGGACCAGATGCCATGATCTTAGTTTTCTGAATGTTGAGCTTTAAGCCAACTTTTTCACTCTCCTCTTTCACTTTCATCAAGAGGCTCTTTAGTTCTTCTTCACTTTCTGCCATAAGGGTGGTGTCATCTGCATATCTGAGGTTATTGATATTTCTCCTGGCAATCTTGATTCCAGCTTGTGCTTCTTCCAGCCCAGCGTTTCTCATGATGTACTCTGCATATAAGTTAAATAAGCAGGGTGACAATATACAGCCTTGACGTACTCCTTTTCCTATTTGGAACCAGTCTGTTGTTCCATGTCCAGTTCTAACTGTTGCTTCCTGACCTGCATACAGGTTTCTCAAGAGGCAGGTCAGGTGGTCTGGTATTCCCATCTCTTTCAGAATTTTCCACAGTTTATTGTGATCCACACAGTCAAAGGCTTTGGCATAGTCAATAAAGCAGAAATAGATGTTTTTCTGGAACTCTCTTGCTTTTTCGATGATCCAGCGGATGTTGGCAATTTGATCTCTGGTTCCTCTGCCTTTTCTAAAACCAGCTTGAACATCTGGAAGTTCACGGTTCACGTATTGCTGAAGCCTGGCTTGGAGAATTTTGAGCATTACTTTACTAGCGTGTGAGATGAGTGCAATTGTGCGGTAGTTTGAGCATTCTTTGGCATTGCCTTTCTTTGGGATTAGAATGAAAACTGACCTTTTCCAGTCCTGTGGCCACTGCTGAGTTTTCCAAATTTGCTGGCATATTGAGTGCAGCACTTTCACTGCATCATCTTTTAGGATTTGAAATAGCTCAACTGGAATTCCATCACTTCCACCAGCTTTGTTCATAGTGACACTTCCCCACTTGACTTCACATTCCAGGATGTCTGGCTCTGTGTGAGTGATCACACCATCGTGGTTTTCTGGGTCATGAAGATCTTTTCTGTACAGTTCTGTGTATTCTTGCCACCTCTTCCTAATATCTTCTGCTTCTGTTAAGTCCATACCATTTCTGTCCTATATCGTGCCCATCTCTGCATGAAATGTGTTCCCTCTTTTTCCTGATAAAATTTGCCAGGTGACATTTTCTACTTCAACAATTTTCAGGTTACATTTCAGAGCCACAGGAGAAATTTTTTACTGTAAAATTTTTATGTTGTGTGTTCATTTTCATTCATCTCAAAAGTATCTTCTAATTTCCTTTGTGATTTCTTCTTTGAGTCACCTTTTTTTTATTTAAGATGTATAATATCCACAAATTTTTTTAATGTTCTAGTTTTCTTAACTAGTTCCTAGTTTCCATTCATTGTGGTTGGTGAAGATACTTTGTATAATTTCAGAATTTTTCATTTATTGAGATGTGTCGTGGCCTAATATATGGTCTATTCTGGAGAATTTTCCAAGTGCACTTGAGCAGAGTGTAAATTATGCTGTTGTTTGGTAGAGTGTATGTATATTTCTGCTAGGTCTAGTTTATCTATAGTACAGTTCAATTCTATTTTCTAAATGACCTTTTGTCTATATGTTCTATACATTATTAAAAATACAGTATTTAAGCTCCCATCTATTACTGTAGAATGGCCTATTTGTCTCTTCAATTCTGTCAGTTGTTACTTTATATACATAGGCTCCATTTGGGGATGCATATAACTTAATAATTGTTATT